CTGGCCCAGCACTCTCACGGCTCCTCTGGGAGGCTGTCCTCTCTTTCTCTGGCGGAACCAATGACTCCCACAGCTGTGCTCCCAAAGGACTTGGCTCCCTGCAGTACCCATCGATGCCCGTGTTTGTCCACGAAGTCGGGAACTGTGTCTTCTCCATCTATGTCTCCCCTCCCGGGAGCCCGGCACAGAGTCTAGAACAAAGTGGGCTATCGTTGAGCATTTGTGGGTAGAGACAATGAGCAAATCTCAGTAGAAGCAAAAGCAAAGCGATCGCTGCTTGTGCACAAAAGCAGCAGGTGCTCACACTCATGCTGGCTCCACAGTCTCAGAAACACCGGGAACAGCAGGATGAGTATCAGTCATAGTCACTCTCCTGTTGGCATTATTGTCCTGGCTTTCTAGGAAGAACACAAGGGCACCCTGGCCCACAAGTCACTGGCACTTGCATTGCAGACATCTGTGGATCTGTAGTGTTCTGTGGAAGAAATGGGTTCATGCTGTATTTTTAAATTGTCTGGAAACCAAAGGGCCAACACTATACTTTCCAACAAGAGGAGATTACCTTGAGCTGGTCTCTTTTTTACCAGTTGCCTCTGAGGCCACCAAGATGACAAAGACCATGGCCTGCAGGCACTTTTACTGTGGATTGAAAAAGAGAGAAAATATTTTAACTGGTTGTTTTGAGCTAAAAGGGAAAAAAAATGAATTTAACTCTTTATTTGATAAATCAACCATGTTTATCTATTTTACCTGTGGTTTTGTTAAAATGTCACTATGTTGAGACTTGCAGAGTATGAGCTGGAAGCCACTGGGGAAGGTCAGGTGCAGATGGGATGGGTAACGTAGGCACTGACCCTCCCAAAGCGTTTAGGATGAGGACACACATGTAGTAGCAAGAGGGGAGGGTGCTAAGCCATAGGAGATGCTTCTGGAACATCAGGCTGTGGGTGGGCAGGCCTTGACTCAGTTTACACTACTGTCACTGACAGCTAATGCCGCTGCGAGTGTCCTCAGTGTTTTAAAAATTCCATTTGATTGTTGGCTTAATGCCAGCTTACCTCTGATCATGATGCTCATGTGAATTTCCTATTTTTAACCTGACATGTGTATCAGTATATAATAAGAGCACTTAGTTAGTTTGATAAAATCATAATGTGTTTTCTCAAGTTGGGGCCATTTCTTTGGGAGTGATCTCTTTGAATAAACTTCTGGTCCTCCGGGGCCCCCTGTGTGTATGTCCCCTACCACACATGGCACTGACATTCACGCACCAACCGAGATATGGGGCTATGGTCAAGTCATATTAAGTGAGGTCTAAGTATGAGGAGTCATGAATTAAGCAAAGAGGGGGCATGGAAAGGAAGAGGTATTCCAAGCTGGCAGAACAGCTGGTGCAAAGGCCCTGTGGCAGAACGGGCCATGGCTCTTTTCAGGTATGGAAATAAGGCTTGTGGTGCAAGACGGAGGGCAGGAGAGGGCAGCCTATGCAGTGACCTCATTAAGACCCCAGGTTAAGAATGCGATCTTCACCCCAAGAGCTGTGAGAGACCATTGTTCTTCTGACATGGTTGGAGTTTTATTATGAAGCGCTCACTCTGGTTTCTGGCTCTGGATCCCACTCTCAGCAACCAGAGGGGGAGGGGGCCACCCTTGAGAACTTTATTGCAGCGGGAGCTCATCCCTGGAGCCCGGGGTTGATGTGCAGCTCAGCACCCTTCCTTCCACTAACCCTTTATTTTATGTTCGCTATTCTAACAAATCTTCCCTTCTCTCCACTCACAAACGAAGATTCATATTTCATTGCGCATTTACGACCACAGCGCCATCCCATTCCATTTTTCTCGCCTTTCTTCTTTCCCTCCCCAGCCCCGATCCCCCACTAACTTCGTAAAACTTGCGAGTTAAATTTTTCAAAGACTGTTTCTGACAAAGCAGTGGGAATTAGATTTGGTGAAGCCCTTCATAAAAAATTGAAGACATGCTATATTAACATACATTGATTTATTCATAGTGTTTCATTACAAGTAAGTGAGGATCCTGTAATACCAGGGAAGGTTAGGAGAGCAGGGGAGCGCGGTATATTATATTGACAGCTCGGTGGAAATTAAGTTGCTTTTGGATTGAATTTGGAGCGCAGGAAAAGAATTGGCTAGTAAATAAGGCATGAGTTTTACCTCCCAGTGTCTGTATATCAATGTAGTTGCCACCAGCCCAGGCAGGGGGACAGGGACAGAATTTTGAAAGAATGCAAAGGGCATGTCCTCTCCACTGGGGTGCTGGGGGTACTTGCCACCAGCAGAACCCTCTGATCAGCCCCCCTCTTCTGCCAGCAGGGAAAAGCAAAATCCAACCTCACACTGAGAAGCCTAAAGCTCCACTCGCCCACTGGACTTCGCTTTGTTTAAACCTTTTCCCACCCCAGGCCTTTGTCCAGGCAGTTCCCTCGGCTCTGAATCTGGAATGCTCTTTCCTCTGCTCGGACTCCATACCATGCTTCAGGTTGGAGTTTTGCTCTCTCCTGAGACTCTGACCTGGGCACTTTGTCTTAGTCTGACAGTTCTCAGAAGCAGACCCTGAGACAGGAGTTTGAATATGAGCAGATTGCTGAAAACCAAAGAAACGCCAGTGAAGGAGTAGAGAGTACTAAAGAGAAAGGAAAGTCGCTAATGACCAGGGTGTTTTCAAGCCAGCTGAACCCCTCAGGGAAACTGGGGTGCTGCAGGGGTATCAGTGGGGCCTGGGGAATTCACATTCTGGTCCCCGTCAGTGGCTGGGGTGTTAATGACCCCACACTCCCAGCGAGCACCCACGGAGAAAGCCCTTGAGGCCAGAGAGGCAGATGCTTGCAGTACTTGCCTCTGAGAAGGGCTGGGGTGACAGCAGTGACCAGAGGGATGCTGTGGACAGGTCCACCAGCACAACCTAGAGCTGGCGGCCACCTGCATGATGGATGCACACGCTTGTGCTCTGATTGCGAAAAGCCTAAAGCCTTCAGCTCCCTGCGATTCTCCTCCCGGGCTCACTCTGCTCCAGGCAAAGTCTGGCCTCTCTCCTTGAGGATGTGGCATCAATTGTCACACCACTACTGCTTAATACGGAAGAAAGAAATCAAATCTTTCTCCACAACACTGGCTGCCCCTGCCAGAAAAAGAAAATCACTTAGTTTTAAAGTAAAGTTGGCATGATCCCTTTTTGGCCTGGGTTTGGCCATCCTGTAAGTATGGGGCATTCTTGATTGAAGATAAAGTGATGTCAGCTGTCTATATCTGGCTTACCTGCCTCAGAAAGGAAGCCACCTGAGGACGGAGCCTGGCTTGTGCTCATCTGGGAGCCCCCAGCGGCACCCAGTGCAAGGCCTGGGATACAGGAATATGCAAGGAATGGTGTGCAGCAAATAAGTGGACGAGTGGATGGATTCTTCAACCAATGAACTGTGTCTCCAGCCCAGACAGGGGAGCATAGAATAAAGAGCACAGGCTTCGGAGTCAGGCAGACCTGGATTTAGCCCAGCGTCAGAGACAGATTATCGAATCAGCGTGAAAATGTGTGATTTGCAACTGGACATGCCGACATGTGTGAATCTCACAGACATCATGCTGAGAGAAAGAAGCCAGACGCAAAAGAGCAGATACCATATAGGATTTCATTTATATAAAATTCAGAAATAGCCGAAATTAGTCTACGCGGCTAGAAGTCAGACAGAGGTGATCCTTGCTGGCGGGGTAGGCAGGTAGGGTTGGAAGGAAATGGGAGGGGAAAATCTTGGACCTGGTAATAGTTGGGTTCTTGATTACATGACTGACTGTGTGCAACTTGCAAAAATTCATCAACCTGTATGTTTTTCTGTATGTACAGTATACTTTAATAAAACAGTTCTGATGGAAAAAAAGCTAGATAAGACAAACGAAAACTCCTACGTCTGCCACTTAACAACTGTGTAGTTTAGAGACGTGACACTCAGAGTATGTGATTCATGCAGCCAGTGCCAGGCTACCAACTGCAGGTTCTTTTAACCACAAGTTAAGTACAGAAATCATTGAGACTGGGCACTTCCAAACTTGTATAGTACCTTGACAATCCTGTGACACCCAAGTGTGCGATCAGCGAACAGTGGATGGAAATCATTCCACAGAGTGTAGACCAGTTTGGTTATTGACAGACACACATGATAAGTCATCTGGGGCTTGATCTTTGAATTATTATCAGTCTGCAGTGGACTGGAAAACCCTATAAATAAAGCTTGCCATAGATAGTTGGAAAAGTGCTGATTTAATGCAAAGTGCTTCCAGTTGAGCCTCAGTTTTCCCATCAGAAAATGAGAATAACTATCTGGATGCCCCCGAGGTTTTGAGGGAGACAACCAAGATAATGCACGAGAAAGTATCAGCAAACGCCATTCAAGTGGAGTAGGGGCCCCGTGATCTGCATTTTTAACAAGCCTTCTAAATAATTCGTATTGGGATGCTACACGTGGACTCTGCCCAACAGCTGCACTGTCCAATACAGTGGCCAGTCACACGGGGCTACTGCACTTTTGAAATGTGACTAGTCCACATTAAGATGTGCTGTAAGAGTAAAAGACATGTGAGATTTCTAACACTTAATATGAATAATAGAATAGAAACTACCACATTGAATTTTTTCATATTGATTACAGGTTGAAGTGATAATATTTTGGATATATTGGAGTCAAGATATATTATGAAAATTAATTTCACTTTCTTTTTTACTTCTTTTGTTGCGACTACTAGAAAATGTAAAATTGACGCATATGTGGCTCACATTCCGTTTTAACTGGACAGCAGTGCTCCGGCACGTCGGCAGTGGGGGATCTGGGGGCCGGGATAATCTGTGAAGTGGGTGGTAACAGGGAGCTTAGCAGAACTTGCTGTCTAAACTCACATGCCCTCTGCTTTCCTCCCCGGGTGCTCCTCCAAATGAGATGCACGCAGCTTCCTCAGTGGGGTATTTACTTGTTTCTCTGCCGACTTGTCCTGCAGATCAACTACAAGGCTGTTGGCTCCCTGGACCCGAGTGCCGACCTCTCCAGCCAGAGGGGAAAAGTGTTCAAGCTCCGGAATGAAACCCACCACCTCTTTGTGGGTCTGTACCCAGGGACCACCTACTCCTTCACCATCAAGGCCAGCACAGCGAAGGGCTTTGGGCCCCCTGTCACCACTCGGATCGCCACCAAAATTTCAGGTATCTCTTTTAGGAAGGGAAAAGGAAGAAAGGTTGTTTCACTCCCCCCAACCCTTTCTAGCTTTCCTTGAAGAGTCAGAGCCAACCGTCACCACGTGGTATTGGAGTGGTTAGGATGACGCAGTCCCTAGTGGGCTACCCTTGTAATCGCACAAAGAAAACCTAAATGATGAACTTCCTGAAGTGTAAAAACCATATTAACTAGGTGACAAGTCACCAAATAATTTGCCCATAGGATTGCATTAAACAGTGTGTGTTTGTGTGCGCGCACGTGTGTGTGTATGTGTGTGTGTATTGCATGCAAATTGGTTTTTAAATTTATTTTCAAGAATATTCTTTTTGCCAATGCAAGACACAGCGCAGATTCTTCTGAAATGTCTGATGAATGAGTGGATGAATGAATGAATGAATGAATGAGTGTCCAAGCTTGCAGACTGACATCACCACTCGGGCCCCTCCACCACGAGACAGCAGCAAAGCAGAATTATCTCAGAACCCTTTTTACAACTTTCATTTTTCAGAATATATGTGCAGTTCTGGTTTGCATACATATATTTTGCACATGGTGTTGCAAAGAAAAAAAACATGATTTTTTGTAGCTTAATGTTTTCACTTATCCTTATCCCATAAGTGTTTCCCATGTTGCTACATTGCTTTCATTATAATGTTCTATCAAGTGGATGGACGTAATTTAATTAAGCATTCCTCTGTGGTTGGATATATTTGGTGCTTCCATGTTTTTGTGAAGTAACGCTTCAATAAATATGTTACAAAATAAAGTTTAATTCGTTGGTTCAGATTATAACTTGGGGATTAAATTCAGAAATTGAAAAACTGAGTTAAAAGGAATAGCTCTTAATACAAATGGCTAAATTACCTTCCCAAAGGATTAGATTTATTTTGCACTCCTATCTGTTGGGTATGGAAGGAGGAGGTCTCATAAAAAAAGGAGGTAGAGGTGAACTAGTTTATCTTAGCTTTAATTTGCATTTTAAATGTACTTAACAAGGTTGACTCTGCTTTCATTCCTTTGTTAGTACTTATAACCCCCGGCATGAATCTGTTAATTCAGTGTGGAACTTTTTGAGTCATGTGGTTTACTGGCTACATCATTGCTCCCCTTCCTTGGACTCCTGCCCCTTGAAAGAACCTACTGTAGGCTGCAGAAGATTTGGGGCCTCCTTTGCTGAAAGCCTGGGAGGCTTCTCATCCAAACCCTTTGCAAACTTCCTGCCTCTAGTCACCCTGTGCGTCTTTAAGGGCAGCACCAGAGGAGGTGGTGAGTGGGGTTGGGACCTGTGCTCAGCTCACCTGTGCTCTCTGCTCCTTGCCCAGCTCCATCGATGCCTGAGTACGACACAGAAACCCCCCTGAATGAAACTGACACGACCATCACAGTGATGCTGAAGCCTGCTCAGTCTCGGGGAGCCCCTGTCAGGTGAGGAGGGTTCTCCACCCGGAGTTTGCAGTTTTCCTTGTCTGCGCCATACACACCTCCACTTGAGTCATGTGACTGGCCATGCCTGTGGGCAAGACTGGCCAGAAGCAAGGCTTCCTGGAAGCAGGATGGGCAGTCTTAAGGCCAGTTTAAAGACTCTGGCCTCTGAGCCAGGATCCTGTTACCAAACGGTGGTGTGTTCAGAAGGAACATGCTGATAGGGACTTGAGATGGTCTGGGAGAGAACTTTCTGGAACTCACATGGCAAATGTAGTTAGTGGGGTTGGGGACCCAGGACATAGTCTCCTGGCAGGATCGTCTTCCCGTGTGTGACTGCCAGTAACAGACAGATGGACAGGTGAGCTGAATTCTGAAAACAACCTGCTCAGAGATCACAACTGGGATAAGACTTGGGGGCTGGTTCAGTGTAGGGATGTAGAATGCAAGAGCCCCACAAAGGCATTTGCCACCAAGGTTACACTGCTGTGCACACCTGAACAAGAAGAAGTTGTTGGAGTTCAGGAACGTACTGGTGCCCAGGTGGCAGAAGCATCTCTGTAGCTAAGCTGTGCAGTGCAGGTCCCTGGTATCAGCAATGAGGCCAGCTCTTTTAAACAAGCTACACTTTGCACGAGGGCAGCAATATTGATTGCTGGTTTTGCTCAGAATTCTGGGAAGCAGGACTACAGTCCCTTGAAATGAAGCAGAGCATGGGGTGGAACAGCTTTCAAATTGGCTCGGTTCAGTTCAACAAGTAGGCACTCAGTACCTTGTGTACCAGGAATGAGGCAGGGCACAGGGGGTAAGAAACGATGCATCCATTCAACAAACATTTTCATTAAGCATCCACCCTGTCTCAGGCACTAAGCACTTGGAATGTGTAGTGAACCAGCCATGAATAATAAAGTGCTAAAGAAAAGTCAAACTCTCCAAAACAGACACAGGGACTCTCAAATCAAGTAGGTCTACATGATGCAGCCTCTTGCAGCCATGCATGTTCGTTACTTGGTCCCGTTTACCCAGAACACATGGGTCTTCAATTTAAAGGAGGCTGTGAGCTTCCATTTCATGAGTGAGCACTTATTGTGTGTCTGTTGCTGTACACAGTGATACTTGTATTCTCTGAACACTGCGGTAACAGTCTTCTCATTGTGCACACGTAGAAGTGGAGATGAGCAGAAGCTAAGTGAGTTGACCCAGGCCACGAAGCAAATAAGCGGTACAGGCAAAATTTAAGCTTAGTTCAAATGACCCTAAGCCGACACTCATTTCACTATACCACGCCACCTTCCTAGGAGAGAAAGGTGTGCATGATAGATTTTGGTGACATTTCCATCCAAAAAAAAATTTAAAAGAAATGTCACTGCTCAAAGGGGAAATGGTTGGTGTCTGGAAATGTGTGGCTGCTCTTCTTCTCAAGGCTCTGCATCACTGAGGGCGGGTGCAGACTCAGCTCCTGGAATTATTTTCAGGCTATTGCTTGGGCATTTTGTCAAGAAGGGGACGAGACTAACCAATGCCACTCTGCAAGATTTTCAGGACAACTGCAATGACAGAAGTGGAACTATCACAACAGACTTCAGTTATTTTGACCTTTATTCACCTTGAACCCTGGGTACTAGGGAGTGCATGGGGGAGGCAGTTGACAATTAGGCCAATCAGTAAATATTTATATATTTATTGAGCGCTTGCTATGTCCGAGGAAGGGAGCTAAGCAATGGGGTTATAGCAGGAAACAAGACAGACACATCCCTGCCTCTCGAGGCTCCATATCCAGTAAGTGTGAGGGTGGATGGGGCATTGGGCAAACAAGCAGAGGAAATCATGAAATCAGCAAAACAAGTGATATGATAGGAAGGCACTGGGGACGTGCCTGCACTGATTGAGGGAGCAGAAGACTGGCTGGGGGAGGAGCCCCACCCAGGAAAGGGGACCCGTGTGGAGGGCTGCGGGTTTGGGAGGTGGAAGCATGTGAGAAACACCACAAACACTCTACGGTCACGAGACACAAAGGGCTCGCTAGATGCACTGGATCAAGGATGCTTTGAACCACATTTTAAAGTTGATAGTTTCCTGAATTAGAATTTATAGTACTTGCATGGTATTGTCTGACCCTCTCTTAGCTGGCGAACAGCCGGTTGGGAAATATCATCACCATTTCAGAGGAGGAAAGTGAAGTCTAAGATGTTGACTGTTTGGCTCATTATAGGTAGAGCCATGGACCTAGATCCTGACTCTGAGCTTCAGGAAGTTTTGAGTTCCCCTGCCTGACACATCAAGTGATGACCAGGTGGCCCTTTTATGGGAGGCTACAGAGTGAACATCCAACAATGAGGGGGTGAGGGGTGGGTTGGCAACTTCCCAAGGGTCCTCAACCTCTGCCTGCGTGGGCCCAGCCGTAACGTGTGAGCTCCAGCAACCTGTTTTCAAACAGACTCACACCTGAACCTCCTCCTTCTGCCAGCAACGCGCCCACCCTGGCTGAGCCTGACTCCAGGCCCTGCTCTGCCGCTTGCTGCTCCTTCGAAGCCCCGGGGGTCTGGTGCTACCTGGCAGAACTGGGTGTGCAGGAGGTGAGGAGGGGCGGCAGGGAGGACTGCTGCCACGTGGGGCTCCCGCACCCTTAGCCGTCTAGCCAAACCACCTCGGCAGCTTGGCCTAGTTTTCTAATACTCCACAATGGAGATTTATTGCTTCTGCATTGCTTTCCTCGGGCCTTCAAAGATTTATTGGTTTTTAAGTGACAGAATCCCAGAATTGTTTAAAAGATCAATCAAATAGTGACTAGAATCTAATATTCAGAGCCTTCTTCCCCCACGTCCTGCCTGTCACGCCTGTCATGCTGATGTATCTGTAGTAACCTTCATAGGAGAGTAACTTGGCCGTGAATTAGTCACCCATCATGCAGTCCCTGAAGTGAGGTTGGGGACAGAACCCCAGCTTCTGTGGCATACCCTCCCCTGACTACCTTCAGGCTTCCTTGGAGATGTCCTTTGTCCCCCCTCCTTCCCCTCCACATCCATTCAGTCACTGAGATTGTCCACTGGACTCTGGAGTCAGCCTGGGCTGAGCTCTCCCCTCCCCCATCACCACTCTCCAGCCCCACCCCCTGCACCTGCCAGGTGTCTTGCTGTTTGTGCGCCACAAGTTTCTCTTCAATCCATCCCCTACCGAACCACTGGGGTGGTCCTTTGGAAGCGCAAATTGGGTCAAGTTAACTTTCCTGCTTAAAATTCTTAAATGGGTGGCTGGTTTTCTATCGCATTAAGTTCAGGCTTCTTAGCATGGAATCCAAAGTCCATCAGAATCTGGCCTTAACCTTGTTTCTAGTTTCATTCAATTTCCCTCTGCCCCTTTACCAGGTTTTACTGGACAGTGACCTACGTAGTTCCTTCATGGTCCTTTCTTGAGCATTTAATTGTGTTACGCATTTTTTGTTGGTTTTCTCGGCTTATGCTTTTTACATGCCCCTCAACAGGCTGTGAGCTCCATGAAATCTGAGAACTCAGTGCTTTTGGACTCCCTTTTCATGGGAGGACGTCTGGCATTTAGTAGGTGCTCAAGGAAAATAACTCATTACTAAAGTATGTAATTGATTACTTTAGCAAATCTGTTTTGCCCACCTGGTAGATACCAGGTGCTGGGCCTAGGAGATGTACATTACAGCCCAGACCTTCAGCTGTCTCCTATTCTGTAACACAGAGCTGTCCAACATAACTTTCTGCAATAATAGAAATGTCCTATACGTCTGCTGCCAGTGCCACTATGGTTGCCACTGACCACACGTGGCTCTGAGCACTTGATACAGGGCTAGGACAACTGAGGAACTGATTTTTATTTTATCTGATTTAAATGCAAGAGCCACGTATGGCTAATGACTACGATTTCGCATGGTACAGATCTGTAGGGAGGATGGTCAAAAAGAGAAAAAATGCCCATGAGCCTGTGTGCTTGGTCAGAAGTTTCCATAGGAGTTCAGTGCAGAGGCATCCATCATTAGCCTGGTAGTTTCAGAAGCTGGAAGGGCTTCCTGGAGGCAGTGTTGCTTAAGCTGAGACCCAGGGAATGAGGGGGAGTTAGTGAAGCAGGGAAGAGTGTGATGCAGGAGGAGGAAGCAGCGTATGCAAGAGCCCCAGCAGGGAAGGTGCAGGGTGTGTTCAGGGAGCTACAGCAGCTCTGTGGGCAGGGCAGAGGTATAAGGAGAGAGGCGAAGAAGCTGGCAGGGTCTGTCTGGATCAGGAAGGTCTTCACTCTGTGTTTGGACTTTGTCCAGAAGGGTGTGTGCACCATTTGGCAGGTGGATGCCCAGTGTTTTGTCCTTCTCTGAGCAGTTGGACCCTAGCCCATGCATTCTCCCTGCCAAGCATGCCATTCTCCACGCCTCCAACATCTGGTTCCAGATCTGTCACACCCAGGACCACCGCCATCCTTGCAGCAGAATACGCCAGCTCCTTCCATGCTCCCACTCTGTCCTGGCCACCCCTGTGTCAGATACTTGCATTTTCAGTCTTTACCAGAATGTGGCCTCTCTGAGAGCCATCCCTATGGGGTCCCACCAGCAGCTCCTGACTCAGACCTGAGACCCTTCCATGCCATAGCTGACTTCCCAGTTGGATGCCCTGGGACAGGAGAAGCTCCTAGAATCAGATCCAGCCTTATCTAGTTGCCCCACTGGGTGGCCTTGAACCAGGTACTTATTTTCTTTAAACCTCAAGGTGCTTGTTGGTAAAGGGGAATACCTATTTCACAGATTGTTTTGAAGGTCAAATAAGCCAAAGTGCATCAAGTGCAACTGGTAGTTGTCCAACATGCTCCTTGAGTTTGGCCAAGCTGTTGAGGCGAGGTGTGGCTCTCAGCCCTGGGTAGCCATGGGCAGGAGTGTTCTCTGAGCTCTGCTGAAAGCCATTGCCTGTCTGCTGCATACCCCCTAATGTTCACATGAGATCTAGTGCGTGTGAAGTGCTGGCTAGTGAGGGACACATCAGGGAACCTATAGCTAT